AAGTGAAAGGGGGGGGGGACGGCAGGGGGGAAGCCGATCCTGTCACTTTCCATGACACTCCACAAGCGACAACAAGTCTTACACATTGGCATAAATCTGGAGCCGGGTTTCTGTTTGACTCCAGTGTCTCCCTGCGGTTACCGAGCAGGGAATTACATCACCCAGGTCTCATACGAAGTGAAAACCCAAACTGCTCTGTGCGTTTTCGCTAAGTGGCAAGTGCAAAAAAATACTCACTGAGATAAGAAAATAAGAGCCAACAGCACAGCTCGAGTGTTTGAGTTTCTCTCCTCTTACTAACAGTTTTGCCTGGCGATGAGAATTCACTCATTTCTATTTAAAGCAGCCGTTTCAGCCCCTCAAGTCTCATTGGGTTAGTTTGCACTTGGACTGCTGTAAAGAAGGGATTTCCTCCGTGGGGAAGCAAGGCACAGAGCAGAAGCAGCATGTGCCACGATCCCATCCTCCCGTTGGAGCCGCTTCTCAGCCTGCTCCAGCCCTGCAACATTATCCAAAGAAACCCTATCCTGTCCCCTTTGACATGACAACCCTCAAACTAGAAATCTGGAAGGTGAAGAGTCCTTCCCAACTAAACGCTTGTCCTTTTGGGAAGAAATGGGCACAGAAGGTGTGAGCAGAGGCCAAGAGGTCTCCTCAGTGTTTGTGAGGGCCGTACCCACACACACGACTGCTGCATGCCAGGAAATTCCCCTGGCAGCACCGTGGAGCTGGCCGGCTTCACATGAACTCACAGGAAACACAGAGTTTAAAAAAACAGCGGAAGCCCATGTACATTCCGGGTAGGAACCCGGAGGGACATCAGGACGGGGGCTGCAATGGAGTCTCCTCCTGAACTTCTGTGCTCCGGACAGCGACGTATTTATTCCTAAGCCTCCAGTTCCCCAAGCCCGGAGGCAGGATCTGTGTTGCGGGCAAGATCCCCACCCTTCCTTAATACCTTTGCTTGCCATGCAGGGAGGAGCTGATGAAAAAGCCACCACTTCTGTGGCCCAGGAGCCCAACTCTAGCTGATCTCCAGTTCTGGACATCTGATAGAGGTAGGAAGCAGAAGGAAAGGAAGAAGAGCACATGGGCTGGGCTGAAGGGGTGAAGACCCCACGATGACACCCCTCAGAAGGAGACAGTCTCAGCAGCACCAGGGGCCTGGAAGCAGAACCTCTGCTCCCCCCTGACCCACACGGGCTGAGTGACAAGGTCCTGTGCCGGGCAGAGCTGTGGCCCCGAAATGCATCCCAGACCTGGCTTGTCCAATTGCTCCAACAAATACTGTGTGGACCCGCACACAAAGACCCTCTAACAGGCACCTCTACTTCAGTGTGCACATAGCTGTGCCACAAAAGTCCACAAGAAACTTCCCTGCTGTGACAGAAGGGCCTGCTAGACCCAGAGACCACAGTCCCACCGCAGTCCGACCCGTGGGCACAATCCTTCCAACAAATAAATAAAGAATTTGGGGTTCTACTTAGCTGGAAACAAAAATTTAAACTCAACCCTAATGTATTTTCCAACCTTGAGAAAAAACTTACATAACCTTACCAGTGACATTTTCAAAATGCATTTTGTAGATCCACTTCCAAGCTGCACGCGCACAAACTTTCTGTGACAGTATCTCAAAACCATAGGAGAGGAAACGCGACCACAAAGATTGTAGCTTGCTTCTGCAAACCCATGACATAAAAGAGCTTGCTTCGTTTTGCCCTTCGATTGTCCCCTATCAAAATGTTGACATTCTGCTCTGGAACAAGCCAGAAAAATCACGGGTATGTGACACTCACCGAGAGCGACAGGACAAATTGGCCCAGAGAGAATGAATGTGCAACTGAAATGTATTTTACTGAAACTTCACTGCTAGTAAGGTGAGTGGGAGAAAAAAATGCATTTTGAGCCTCAAATTTGTTCTGGGCTGTGAATATTTACATTTTAGGTGCACCAAATCCCTTCTCCATTTAGAATCAGCTGGCAGAGATATGTAAAAGTTAATGTGGAGTGGACACCATTGCTTCTAACCCCATGCTCAGTACTGAAGTGGTAACTGAGTCTTACATCAAAACCAAAAATAATCATCTGCCAATTCCATATATACATGGCACAAACATGCTGAGAGAAGGAGTCCCCAACTAAAATTCATCTGGGGTGTGAGGAGAATCACGTTTTTATATGGCATAATCCTAACTAGACCATGTACAGAGCCCTTTTAAACAACTCTAGATCCTAAATACTATTGTATAGGCCAGAAAACGAGGGTTTTCAGCCAAGCTCAGCACAGTTCCCACAGCCAGATTTGAAATGAGCTCAGAGCAGGATTCTTAGTGAGCACCAAGAAACCTTAATGAGATTTTCAAAAAACCTCAACTCCCAAAGTCCACTCAGCCTGCTGGGCTCTTTGGAAAAGCACATTCATGCACTGCATGGAGAGAGGAAGAGCTGCGAAATTCGTGTCCCACATCCTGAACTCCTTAACATGGAGTTATTCTGAAAAGGTATAATCTCAGCCTCTCCTTTTGGCAAATACCACCTTAGTACAAACCCTACCAGCCTGGCAAGCGGGAAATGAAGCCCATCTAAGCTCAGATCAGAGAGCAACACTCTTTGTACAACTGCTGGTAAAATATGGATCCCATAAACAGCTTCCTCTTTAGGCAGGAGGAAAAACAATCCTATCCTATTCAGCCCTCTTCTTACGGAAAGAATCCCTGGCTAAATAGGGAATTCTTATTCTGTCACCCTGATAAAGTAAGACCGAGATCCCTGCATGTGATCTGAGTACATTGTCAGGGCATCTGATACGCCCTGGGCACACTGCCACTTCTTCTCCCACCTGCTGCTCCTGGTGACACGCGGGTGTCCCGCACAAAGCACCGAATCGGCAGCTGGTTAGAAGAAGAAAGTTCTAATCACAAGGCAGGAGAAGCAAGTTGAGCATTGCCCTCAAAAGCGCCATCGTTGGGGTTCAATACTGTTTTGCCTTCCCTCCCGAGCTACCTCCTTCTTTGATTTGTACTATGACAAGGAGAATTAGAAGTGCATGTTTATTCCTCCGCCTAATGTTTGCTTTCAAGATCCATTTTAAACATCTCCTAGGAAGCTGGAAAGAAAAGGGATGCGAGGCTTGGCTCCCCTTGGTGAGAAAATCCTCTCTTTCAGGAAAAGACTCCTAAAAAGGGGCTCTCTGGAGCAGAGGAAGTGCTGAATTAAGGAGTGCACACAAAGAAACATGACCATGCAACGTGCCAAGACCAAGTCAGCCAGGAAATGAGCTCCCACCTGTGTGTTGGGCTGTGGCTGACTCCGAGGACACTGCTCACAAATGTCTCAGTGCCCCAACTCACTTGTGTCAACACTGTTACATCCCCAGAGCAGGGCAGGACCCAGTCTGAACTCATACATGTGTGACGTGACCGCTGCCAGGCTGCTGCCTGCAACCATGGGGCAGCCACCGAGCAGGGAGGAGGCTCAAATTTGGAAGGAATTCAAGCCAGCACTTCCCAAAACACCAGCTGGCATTTTGTGATGCCACGGACGACTGGATACATCAGAAATAGTGATGCTGATGCCTCTGGCTGTGGAAAGAGGCCCACCAGTTTTAGCAGCAGGTGTCAAGGGACTTCTGTTGCACTAGCTCAGACTTTCATTTTGCTGTGATTAAATAACCAAAACTCTGCTGGGGAAGGCAAGTTGGTTTTACAAAGACTGAAAAGGAAACGGGGAAATGAAAATGAACCATGTAAGTAGCAGCTTGCACGTCTCCGAGAGGTGAGCACACCAGATCTCAGGAAAGGAAACCAATTTCTACTAACAGCTAGAAAGGAAGCGCTGTCTCAGAACCTGAGCTCAGCAACGCGCTGGTAGCAGGTTGCCTTGATAGGACCTGGGAATTTCCCCATGCTCATTTTTGCAGTCACTGAGATCGCTAAGCTCCTTCACAAATAAATTCTCTGAAGGCCTGAGACAAAACTCACAGTTCTGGCCCACCTCCAGCAGGCAGCCTCCGCCTTGCACAATAATTTCTAGGAGCAATGGGTGCGGGAATAGGGAAGAAAACATGCTGAGCAGGCACCAGCACAGCGGCTTTCACAGAATGAGGCAAGGCTGAGAAGCAGCAAAGCTACATATGGAACTTCCCATACTGGGAAATGGAAAACACGTCATAAGAATGTCCGAGATCATAATCTGACTTCCCAGAGCCAGAAATATTCCACACCCACACGACTGACACTCTTTTACCATGTCCCACAAACGCTGGGTTCGTCTCTTGTCCCTCATCCTCTCTTGTTCTCCTTCCCTCTTTGCCTTTGGAAAAGAGCTCTGTGCAACTCCTTACTCCTTCCCTTGGGAGCAGCCTGCCATTCCTCCTCTCCTCTTTCCAGCTGAGGATTTATCTCCAGAGATCCCCCTTGTCCCTTGGGGATTTTTAGCATCCAGTTAGGGACAATTCTCCCACCCGACGCTGACCTAGCAGGAAATCTGGATCACACAGGGATGAGCAGGGAGCGAGAGACCCTGGTACCCAGCACTCTCCTGAGGCAGAGAGAAGCCACCATGTGCCTGGAGAAAGCTTCTCCCCAGCTGCTGAGCCCCAAAGCAGAGCAGCCCCATAACAGGAAGGGGCTCTCGGGGCGTCTCACCACCATCCCACTTGGTCATGACCTCCTTGCTGCCTTTGGCTCTCCCGTGTGGTCACCGCTCAAGGACCTGGAAGGGGAACGGTGCTTGGCACGAGTCAGTGTTCTCCAGAAAGCCCATCTCACAATCTGCAGGTTCTGAGTCTGATCCTCACACAGGGCACCAACAGGGCTGTTCCTAAACCCTCGGAGCAGCTCGCTCCAGCACGGCTGCTTCTTGCGTCTCGCTGTGGGGCCTTCCCATTCCAAGCAAACAACCTGTGACTTTGTTCTGCCAACGCGGTACAAAAGAAGGTGTCTTTTAAATCCAACCCTGTAAAATAGAGTTTTGATTCAATCAACAGAGTATAAGGGCTATGTACTACAGGACATATTTACACCAACCACTGTTTGCAGAACAGCCCTTAGATCTTGTACAAGCAACACTCCTGTGAGGGTGGCTTTTGCAGAAGTAAAATTGGAGCATTCCATCCTGACTGACATTCTCACAACAGTCTATAACTTAAATATATATATATTAATTACAGGTTCCAATCGGATGTGTGCTTCCAACTTGCAAGGGCCTGGCTCGCCCTGGTTTTAATCCCCCTCTTATTGCTTCTGCCATTACCCACCTCAACCCTAGAGCATGATCCGTCCTAAAACAGGGCATCCGGAGGCCGCCGAGGGGTTAACGGCCACCGAGAGGGTTAACGGCCGCCAAGGAGGTTAACGGTCACCCAGGGGTTAACGGCCGCCGAGAGGGTTAAGGGCCGCCATGTCCGCCGCTCCTCCCCGCCGCGCTACGTCACGTCCGGCGCGCTGTCATGGCGGCGCAGTTCCGCAGCTACGTGTGGGACCCGGCGCTGATCGTGGCGCAGATGGCGCTGCTGCAGGCCGCCTACTACAGCTCCCTGGGGCTCTGGCTCGCGCTCCTGGGCGCCCTCGGCCGCACCGCGCCCTCCCTGCAGCAGATCTTCAGCGACGAGGTAGGAACCCCGCGCCCCCTCGCCTAGGGCCTTCCCCGTGAGAGACCCCCCATGTAGATCCCCGTCCCCCCATATCAGTGCCTTTCCCTATAGAGCCTCCCGCATTTTGGACCTTTTCTATATAGAGACGCCTCCCAAGCCCGTCCATACCCGTATGGAGACCCTCCCCTGGCGCGTTGGTCCTTCGCAGTGTACAGACAGCTGCCCTCCCCACCACACCTCCATGGAGGTACCTCTGATACAGACAGACATTGCCCCCCTCCCCTCACCCTCCTGGCACAGGTTCCCCGCTGTAACAGGTCTTCCCCTATAGATACCTGGCAGTATGGAGACTGCCCACCCCAGCCCGTGGATAGCTGGCCCTCCCTCCTGTCAGAGGACCCTTCCCGGTGTAGGTGTCACCCCCAGGTATAGAGACAGATGCCCCGTTACTTCCAATGCCCCCCATATACCATATAGGGACACCCAAGCCCCCCTGCTTATCTAAATACCCACCTAGTATGGAGACAGACCCCCACCAGTCTAGCCAGGACCCCAGTATAGAAACAGGCCCATTGCTTTTGTGCAGATACCTCCAGGTGTGGAGGCTGGTACCCTATGAGGGCTGCAGCTCTTCCCATGGGCTCTAGGGAAGTGCAGGGCTGCCCCGGTGTGGCAGGGCCGTGGGATGACCTTGGCTCGCTGCGGGCTGTGTCTGGTGCTGCCGGTCCTTACAGATAATCCCGTGCAGATTTTAGGCTTCTCGACGCCGCCCGGGAGGCTCTCCATGATGGCTTTTGTCCTCAACGCGCTCACCTGGTAAGTCAGCAACTGCCTGGGGCTCTCGCAGCGTTCCCGGGTTTCCAGCAGCCCCGTGTCTTGTATTTGATCTTTGATATCAAACCTGACTAGAATGACATGGTGATAAATAGCAGCATGGCCTAGAGTCATTCCCAAAACATTCCTGGAAACGCTGGGCCTGGTTTAGCCTTCCTGCTGCTGCTTGGCCCTTGCACAGGAGGACACGTGGGAATTGTTGGCTATGAAGGGGACTTTCTGCCTCTTCCCTTACGTCATTTCACTGCCTCAGTTTCCCAGCTGGGAATGAAATCTGCTTTTGTAAGGCCTTACTGGAAGTTGAAAATAATAAATCTCAGTAAACACTGATCTGTAGACAGTGATGTAATTAGCCCCTGCTAATGGGCAAAGGTCACTGGGAGAGAAAGGGCAGAGAGTCCAGCAGGAGTATTTAAACTAAAAGCTCATTTCCCATCCATCACATAAGCAAGCCATTTAAATCTTGCTGCAGTGGCTGGGATCAAGGTCAGAAACAGCCTGTGCTTAGAGCACTTATTAAGTTTTTAAAATAGCTAAATAATTAGCACTGACAGCTCCTCTTTGCAGTTGCCTAAGGAAAAGGGACTACAGCATCGAGGAGTTTATTTGTTAACCTCTTGTTTTGCTTTTGTAGTGCTCTGGGCTTGCTGTACTTCATCCGCCGCGGAAAGCAGTGCCTGGATTTCACAGTCACCGTTCACTTCTTCCATCTCCTGGCATGCTGGATTTACAACTCTCACTTTCCCTCCACTCTCACGTGGTGGCTAGTGCACATCGTGTGCACGGCCCTCATGGCTGTCATCGGGGAGTACCTCTGCATGAGGATAGAACTGAAAGAAATCCCCTTGAATTCTGCCCCCAAATCCAATGTATAAACTTGCTGTGCCAAGAAACAAGCTGCATTAAGTCATTGTTTCCAGCACAAGAGCATCTAATGCCTGAAGAATCATCCCGGAGAAGCGCAGCAGGCCTGTCGAGTCTTTTTTTAGACCTTGGTGACTGCATGAGTGTGGACATCTCTGCTGTCATCATCAGACAACGGAGAGGATGAGGAGCTGTTTGTTTTATTAACACAAAGCGTTCAACATGACTGCATTGCAAGAGTGCTCCTAAACTCTTCCCTCAGGACTGTTAAAAGGCAGGTGGCAAAACCTGATGCACAAGAAGCACCTGGAATTAGAGAAACACGAGGGGTCTGTGTTACCAGAGCTGAGGTAACGCAATGGGCGGCTCTTCCTGCAGCAACGGGCACAGGGAGCAGCGGGGCTGGGAGCTGCTGCTTCCAGTCTGTAACTGGCTTGTTCTTCACTTGTGCTTTGGTTGAGGAAGAAAAGAAAATCAAGGAAGGGAGTAGATGGGAGAGAAAGAAAATACTTGTACTTATCCGAAGCACCAGCTGAGACCCTCAACAACATGTAATTGTAGAAGGGTTTGGTTGTTGTTTCCATGTTTAATACACAGATGTCAGGCAGCAGTTTGCTGAAGGAACCTTTTGTAATAATAAATATTATATTGCTGTGAGTGTGTTACTTTTCTCCTGAGCAGCTGAGTGTTTCAAGAAATGCCAGGGACCCCTGTATCATGGAACTGGGGACCAATGCAGCCAGAGGATGGCTGCAGTTGAGGGTACATAAAGCTTCCTACAGGTTTTACTGTACCCTTCCTACAGAGGGTACAGTAAAAGCTTCCTACCTCTTAATTGTACTCTGAAATCAAGACAGGGCACTGTCTTGGGAAAGCTGGCAGCATAATTTTCCATTTGGGAAGAGCATCAGCCATCCAGAGCCTGTTACTGTTCAGTCCTAAGCCACAAGTGCCTTGGGGAAGCCTTTAAAGGTTTTTAGAGAAGCTTTCTGCTTTTCCCTGGGGCTGGGTCTTCCCGTCAGACTTCAGCAGATCTGGTCTGGAAAAGGTGATTAATTAGCCAAGACTGCTGCTTGTTCCTTAAAATAATAGCAGCTCATCAAGCAAGTCTTGCCTGGCATCAGGTAAAGGCAACAACCTTAGCCATGAGAGTGCAAGACCAGGGAGTTCCTCCTCATCCTGCATCCCAAGCACGAGGACTTGCTCCCTGTGTAGTTTCCTCAGATGTACATCCAACCTAAGCAAGGGCAAAGTGAGCTTTAAGCACAGATTTTGTCCTGTGCAGTCTCTTGCTGGTATGACTTTGTTTTGCATGTAAATATTAACTTGCATAATCTGCTTATTTGGTTTGTTAAGAATTGGTGAAATGAGTTGCAGAATTTGATAAACTCTCTGAAGTTGCTCTGTTGAACTTTGTAACTGGGGAACTCCATTTGAAAGCCTGCTTTCTGTTTCAGAGACTGCAAATTCCAGCAGGGCAAAATGCTGATGTTTTGAACACTTGGCAGGAGCATTACCAAGATGACAGGAGCACCAGCTATGTTTTTAGGCCAAACTCTTTACATTCGCCTGTGAGATTTTCTTTTTTTCTAGCACCTCTTCTTGAGAAAAGCTCCTGAAGCTGGGCCATGGCTCCTTTACAGGTACAGGAACAGTCTTTTTCAAAGGAAAAAAGGTCGGGCAAGTTTGGGCAGGAGCCCAAGGTTGCTGAAGGCCACACACACTGTGTCCTGTTGCTTCCCCTCTGACACTGCTGTGGTCCAGCAGGAGAGCTCAGCCCTCCTGGCTGCCCTCGTTCAAGATCAGCCTCCCCATCTCAGGATACTCCTTCCTTTCTTACGCATATTCAGCCTGGATATAAAGCAGTATTTGGTCTTTCAGTAGGTGCCAGTATCTCCTTTAAAAAGTTGTTTACAGTGGGAATCTGAGTGGAGGGCATGAACTGGATACACTGCCTTGGAATCAGTCATACTTTAAGCCCACTTCAGGACCACATGTGCTCTTTGCTTTTCATTGCTGTTATTGAGAAGAAACATCTGAGTTGCAGCACAGGGAGAATTTGCCGGATTTAATTCAAGGATTAACACCTCGTGGTTTCTTTCGGTGTCGCCTCCTATGTTCTTTAGGGGTGATCCTCAAGAAAGGGTGAAATAGAAGACTGAACACAGCAAGTGCAAGGGAGGAGAACATAAGCCTTGTTACACCCATTTGTTGAAGGAGAACAGACCTCAGATCCCAGAGCTGCTGTGAGACCATCTTAGGGGCACGACTAGAGCTGCTGTCTGTTCCCAGGTGAGGATAGGGATTGAAAATCCTTGCAGAGAGGAACATTTATCCCTTTACCTTCTGGATGCACAGGCTACACTTCAGCAGCTGCCCTTGCTGGAGCTGTAGGTGAAGTTCAGTTTTGTAGCTGTAGAAACTCGGGTAGAACAAGGCCACAAGAAGCATCTGTGACAAGTCTGGACTTAACACTGCAGCTGGGGGCTATCCAACAAGCTGCACTGTTTTAGCATGAAACGTACTGTGGGATTAGAAATGATTCCTTAAAGTCTGCTCATCTGGCCTTTGAGGGCTGAATTCATGCACTGCTTTTGCAGGGAATCTATTGTATGTTGTAGTCATAAGGAAAATACTAGAAGTCAAATACAGAGTTAGAAGCCTCCAAAATCACTTCCACGTCGAGACCTAAATTTCACTTGCATTCAGTCAGATTTCAGCAGCACCATTGGCTCTAGAAACTTCTGCTGCTCCATACCTGAACAGTGGCAGATGGTCTTTGTTTCTTAATGATTTCCCCCCCTCTTTCTTCCCTGTGCAGTCAAGAAATTTGCTTCCAGGAAGATTTTTCCCAACACCTGCTCTCCATAGAATCAGCTCACCTCTTCCATCTGTAGTTTTGCAGGAAGGCTTCTCAGCGGTGGCTGCTTGCTGAGATCTTTCACTCCCGCTCCCCAAAGCTCTTTTAAAATACAAAATTTTAATGTTGAGGAAGAAGATAAACCCAAAACTGAGCTGAGAAAGGCAACTTTGGGAGGACTTGTGCTTGCTTGCTTTTCCTAAAGGCATTAAACACCTCCTAGACACAGACCAGTACCATTTGGGTAGAAAACCTTTGGTTGCACATGATACCCACCTGCTTCAGCTCTCCCCAGCTACAGACCACAGGCAGCGACTGAGATAAGGGTGAGGGGAACAGGGTCAGGCAACACTGCTGTTTATCAGCATCAAATCACTCTGTTGGAGCAGGATAGGAAGAAAAAAAAAAAGAGACGAGTGGTTCAGCCCAGGTTCTGTGGCGCTCCAAGTAATACTTTCTCCCCAAATTTCATCAATCCCAGTGGCAGGAATCCCGAGTACATAAGTAACAGCCGTGCAGAACGCCAGGGTGCCTTGCAGAGCGCGGTGCTGCCCGAACACCAGCTGCTCCTCCCTCAATTTTCACGTTTCTTGTAACATGCCCCAATTTCTTCATTCGCTGCTGCCACTGCAGGAGTTGAGTGGTAAGTGAAAGGGAAGACCAGGGGAAAAGCATGAGGATGCCAAGGTGAGGAGCATGATTATTATTAAAAATACACTGTACTGTGTTTTGCTATAGGAGAAGCTTGCCCGCCTGCCTGCGGCATCCAGCAGGACCCCTGGTTTGTGGCACCGCTTCAGACCCGAGGCCAACTCGCTGCACAGGGTTGTGCCCAGTGCCCGTGGAGGCAGCAGGCAACCCCCAGCTCAGCATCCTGCCTGCCCGTTTCTCGGGACTACAAGAAGAAATCACAGGCTTGCAGACATCTGCACGACAGCTGTACATTGCTGTTAGCTGCTGCTTCCCTCTTCTGAAAACACGGCAAGTGCCCCGATAAACAGCCATGCAATCTGCAAATTGGCCAGATTTCAGAAAGTCGGACTGGGAGTATCTGTTTTTCTTTTTTTCCTCATCACTCCCCTCCATTTTCTGAAATACTACGTTAGTTAATCATGGGAATTTCAGATCTGATGACACTGAAGTTGCGGTCTTGTTCCACAAGCAGAACATAGGTTTCCCTGCCACATCCAACTGTTAAGCCTCAATATCAATACAATATGACAAGAAAACAGCCCCTTCCCCATTTGAGAGCTGCAATAGCTCATGGAAAACACTCTGGAAGCTGCACAGCCTCCCAGCAGGACACATTGCTCTTCTCTCAGCAAGGGATTCGCTCCAGATCCTTGCAGGAGCAGCTTATGGGCCCGTAGTGGTTCTTGTCTCCTACAGCCCTGCTCAGCAGCTGGCCATGAGCATCCTTCAAGTAACTGCTTTGCACCTCCCAGTGACACTGCTGGGTTTCCCAATTGATCCAGAAAATACTTGGAAACATCTCTCTTGCTAGTGTTTTTGTGCTTGTGCTGAAGCTATAAAACCAACTGTGCTCCGAGTTGTTAGGTAAAACACAAAGAGCTGGTGCTACCAAGCAAGCGGCAGGACAAACGATTTCTACCTTGACAGATATAGGCTCTACAACAAGTTTTAATACTCTGGAATTACACATTGTCACCCACAGAGCTGCTTAGAGCTACCTTGGAGAAAAGTTTTAAAGCAAGAGAATTACTGTAAATCCTTCTCTTTCTGTGCTAACTCGACACTCCCTCTCTCCCCCAGTATTTGTCCTCTATTTACTTAGAAAAGGGATTTACACACAATACAGGAGTTACTCGGGAATTGAGGTGGATGCAAGAGAAGAAGTCATGTGTCTGTGATCATCCCTTGACGGAGATTTTAACCATTTCCTCTAAGAAAATAAATAAATAAATAAAAGGCCTGTACCCAGCCAGGAAGGTCCCCTTCTGGGCTCTGACAGGATATACCCCTTCCCTTGCACCTCACAAATACCAGTGGTAAAAACTATCTTGTTTTTAGCACCCAGGAGACCAGGAGACTCCATCTGGGAGAAACAGGCAGCTGAACAAAGAAGCTTCCTTCCAATATGCATAGAAAAGTGCAAGAGAGTCCGGTGTTCTGGCACGATCTGTTTTCTCCTCAAATCCTCTGCCTCACATCTACAGTCCTCATTCTCCAGGGCTGCACCTTGAGACAGGAAGGGACAAGGATTATCCCAAACTGTGGAAAAACAGCAAAACGCGGGAGATGCTGCCGAGCTCCTCCGAGTTGAGCGGCGGGGGCGGGCGCTCGCCGGGCACCGCACACCGAGTTCCTCCAAGTCTGGGCACGATGGTGTGACCGGGAGATGTGGCACACACTGCCGCCACCGCCTCTCGGGATCCTCACAGAGCTGCCGCTTACCAGTTCAGCCAAGTGACCAGGAGCGGGATGCCGAGGATGGACGCGTCGGGCACGCGCGTCCAGGCAGAGCCTGGGGCTGCGCCGGGGCCACAGAGCTCAAACAAGCTGCCTGGAAACTTGATCTTTTGCGACTCCCTTTTCAGCGTCTCCCAGGCGGCCGCTGCTTCTTTCTGGCACTCCCAGAGCGCGGACAGGGCGCACACGTGAAATTCATCCCAGTACCTGCAGCCGAGAGAGACACCGACCCCTTAGCCCAGGGGCAGGGACGCAGCGCAGCGGTGCTGGGGAAAGGAGCCTTCCCGGCCCCTTCCAGCCCCTCCAGCATTGGCACTTTGGGGCCACGGGTAGAAGGAAAGGCCTTGCCTGTGAGCAGCCTCCAAGGAGGACTCTGGGGCTCCCTGTCCATCCCAGGACCGTGCACCCAACTCCCGAATGGGAACCACACAAGCAAACCGGTGCCGCAGCCTCTGCCAAGGATTTCTCCTTCCCCACTCCCATGTCACACCTCCCAGCGATCTCCTGGAGCATCTCGCCCAAAACTCCAAACCTTAAAACATACCAAAATCATTTCATGGGTTTATTATTATTATTATATTCAGGGAAACAATAAAATCTCTTTTTTTGATCAAGAAACGCATCCCTTGAGTACTCCCAGCCGAAGCAAAACAGGCTGGGAACAAAAGCTCGGCGCATTTCAGAAGATGCTTCCCACAAGTCAAGGGCAGCAGGCAGCGCCGAGCAGCTCAATGGTGCTGCAAGCGGCGCCGTTTCGTAACCGAGGAGCCTGCAGAGGCTGGGGGAGGGTTTCGGT